ACTCATTCCACAAATTTTTATACAGTTTTACTATGAGGCTCTGGCTGATAATGTGTTCGTTGAAAAAAGTTACTTAGCTTTTCTAGGCTTTAGTTTTCTCATTTGAATATTAAAAGAAATCAGACTACATAATTTCTGAAGACCTTTTCAACTTTTATTATTCCATGAAACTATGATGCTTAGGTACTTGGGAACCATCTATTTTCTCACTTTTTAAAAAAACAATCCTCATATGAGGATATGTATTTATTGACTTTTTTTAGAGAGAGAGGAAAGGAAAGAAACATTGATATGAGAGAGAAACATTGATCAGTTGCCTCCTGTACACACCCTAACCTGGGATAGAACCTGCAACCTAGGTATGTGCCCTGACTGGAATCAAACCATATAACCTTTTGGTGTATGGAATGACCCTCTAACCAACTGATGTTCCACTTGGCCAGGGCCATATATTCTCACTTTTTAATTTTTCTATCCCAGACACCCACATGTCAGATCAATTATTTTCCCCACCATGGTTTATTTATTTTTTTAGCTATAATTGACATATAACATTTATTAGTTTAAGGTGTATACATAATCCTATATAATAAAAGGCTAATATGCAAATAGACCGAACTGTGGAACAACCAAACAACCGGTCGCTATAACGTGTGCTGACCACCAAGAGGTGCACGTGGAACATGACGGGCATTGGCCGTGATGGGATGGTGGAGCAGTTGAGCAGGGGCTCCAGACCAAGGCTGGTCGCTGTCATCAGGGCGAGCCTCTGGTGGTTACTGAAAATTCTTTGCTCCCATGGGCCGTGGTCCCACCCTGCGCTCGCACCTGCTGCCGGTGCCAGCCCCGTTCACACCCACTACTGGCATCGGAACCACTGCTCGCAACTGCTGCTGGCGCCTGGCCCCAGCCCTGATCACTTGGCACTGTCAGCAGGTGCAAGTGGTGGCTGCTGGTCCCAACTGCCCCTCAGGGCTTTTCCACCTCCTCCTGCTCCTGAGGGGCGATCAGGGCCGGCAGCCGACTCTTGCAGCTGCTGCCAGCACTGGAGCTGTTGCTCACACCTGCTGCTGGCACTGTCCCAATCGCTCTGCACTGTCAGCAGGTGTGAGTGGCCTGGTGTCATCAGCATGTGGGAGCTGGGCTGCCGGCAGACAGAGGACCGGGGCCACGGCAGGAGGGGCTGGGCGGGGGCGCAAAGGATGGGCTGAGACCCGCCCCTGTGCCCACCGCAGCCTTGTGGCCCACAGTTCCTTTCAAGGTGCACGAATTTGTGCACTGGGCCCCTAGTAATTTGATATATGTATATATTGTGAAATGAGTTGTATAACAGTTTAGTTAACATTTATCATCTCATGTAGTTTCAATTATTTTTATTGTCATGAAAACTTAGAAGTCAGATTAATTTTTAACAGGTCCTTTGAACCTTCTCTGGGACCAAGAATTTTAAAAGATATACGTGAACACAATGAAAAAATAATTAAGGTCCCTAAGCTACCATATTTCATTTAAGCCAACATTGTTGAAAAACAAAACATTTCACTTAAATTACTTTTCTGGATAACGGGCACCTATTTTCTTGAATACAATTTTTTATTTTAACATTCTCTTTAAAGAAATCTCTAAACTGTACTGTATATTTTAATGCCTTTTAAAACAAAATATTTCCATATCATTTTTTTCTTTTCATTTTCTTGAAGATGTAAAATTACCTTCCTAAGCATCTGTTATTATACAGGGGCTCCTTCAGGGCCAGTTCAGGTATGAAAGTGTCTTACTAAGGGTTCATTTGGTGGCAGGTGACAGAAACCCAACTCAAACTGGTAAGGAAGGTATTGGCTCACTTCACAGAAACAGATGCTTCCAGGTGTACGAACAATGTGATTATTAGTTTGGAGTTTTCTTCCCTTTCCATATGAAGAATCTGCTTTGTTCTGTGGTCATTTTGTTCTCTGGAAGGCTTGCCTTGTATATCACAAGAATTGTCAACAGTCTGGAGCTTAGCAAAAAAGCTCTTTTCCAGTGGTTCTAGTAAATACCTTACATCTCACCCTCATTGGTGAGGCATGGGCCACATGCTCATGATTGAAACAATCAATGTGATTGGGAGGGAGTTCCCCCATTGGCCAGGCCTGTCCTGTCTCTGGAACATTGGTGATGCATGGAGTTTGGGGAGGTGAGGATGACAGTCCCTCATGAACCACATGGATGGGGAACAGGGGAGATGGGGATTCCACAAAAGAAAATGAGTATGCTGTGACCCCAAAAAAGGGGTGGAGCAGGTGGGAAATGCTTGTCAGGCCAAAGCTTCAAATATCCCTTATGGAAAAGATATTTATCCCCACATTTTGTAGCCTTAGATTGCTATCTTTTTGGTCTCTCGCTGTCAGCTGTTACTCATGCTGCTGTCAGTTTGCCTCTATCACAATCTCTTCCTACATTTAACTTATAATATCTTCCAAAGGTTTAGAGATCAGAGGGGCAAAGTCATTAGAATTGTTTTCAAAATAAGAGTTAATGGGCTCAGAGGTGAGGCCTCAAGTGTCTCTCTATGAGTAAGGAGTATACACTTTTTACTTTTCAATGGATTTCATGATATTTCTTATGACCCTTTAAAGGGCATTTTTGCATATTTTCTGATATTTGTTTATTTATTTGAAAAACTGCTTTCTTAACAGAGCATATACCATTGTAATTTCAAGAACCAAGGACTATGAACAGTAAATGCCATGGACATGGTTGCTTTAAGTAAAGGTTACACTTTTGTAATTTTCCTAAATTTAAGTGGTTTTCTGAAGTGAGACCGGTGGTATGTGTTCTTTTGAAAATGGAACCATAACAAAATAAAAAGAGCTGACCAATTAGTTATAAGTTGCTTTCCTGGACTTACTAGAATACTGGTACTTTATTTTACCTTTCTCCCTGCAATACCTCTCTGATCTCAAATAAGTACTTTGGCTTCTATGGTGGAGAGTATAGGGAGACAGAAAAAAATAATTTTTAGAACACAAAACTGTGTTAACACCTACAGATAGCATATACTGTGCAACATTCCAAGTTTTGATTATGTTAAAAAGAACCACAATGTTAATTAAATAAAAATTTTAAAGCTTCATTTTAGCCAGTAGTTTATATCTACTGTAAATAATCATTTGTACTTGTTGGCTATTTTAAAATATTCTTCATAAGTGGTGGAATTGGCTGATTTGGGGAATTTCATAAAGGAGGTTATTCTAGTGACACTACTCCAGAGTGTCTATGTAATTCTTCTAATGAGAGAGGTGAAGAAATGACAGTGGTGAGTGTTATTATATCCATCTAATCAAGAAGTCAGCCTTGGGCCAAAACTGGTTTGGCTTGGTGGATAGAGCATCGGCCTGCGGACTGAAAGGTCCCAGGTTCGATTCCGGTCAAGGGCATATACCTTGGTTGCGGGCACATCCCCAGTAGGAGGTGTGCAGGAGGCAGCTGGTCGATGTTTCTCTCTCATCGATGTTTCTAACTCTCTATCCCTCTCCCTTCCTCTTTGTAAAAAATCAATAAAAATATATTTAAAAGAGAAGTCAGCCTTGAAAGAAAGAGGTAAAAGCATGATAAAGAAAATCAATGGGATTGAATAGTAAATGCTTCAAGACTGGTGATACCTTGTCATGCTGAATAGGAAAAGCAAAAAGATTCTTAGAGAATTACGATTATTAGAGAGAAGGCATATGAGTGGCTAATAACCAACACTATTGAACGCTTACCATATGTGTGGTTGGAACAACTCTAGCCTCCATTGTATAGAAGAGGAATTAGTTATAATTTGGTGGATGATGGAACTGAACTTCAGGCCCAGGTTTGTCCAACTCCAGAGCCGGCAGACCTCTAATCGTGGTGTAAACAATTTCCTCAAAGCTTGGCAGCCCAAGACCAATGTAGCAACTCAAGGACGTCACCAAGGAACCAGCTCCTCCTGTTTTACTTACGTACTATCTGTGGTATAGGACCTTTTCATCTCATGGTTGAAAGATGGGTGCTGGCCCTCCAGCTTGTGTACCTCCATTCTAGGAAGAAGAAAGGGAAATATTAGAGGGTAAAGAGTAAACATTATGATCCTTGAAAGCCTTGTCACATTGTTTGGGAATGAAATTCACCCAAAAGACTCCCACTTATATCTCATTACAAAGAACTGTGACCCATGGCCACCTCTAGCTGCAAAGTGGCTAAGAATTGGAGTACTTGGCTCTCAGACTACATAGCATAGAAAGCCCAGGGAGAAGGGATTGAAGTGGGTGCTTATGGAGGTCTGCCTTACAGGTTTTTTAGTTATTTTGTGTAAGTTTATTTTTTCTGGGATACTGTGAACCTATGGAGAACAAAGAATATGTTTTCATATCTGAATTGCCCACACTAATGGGCAAGTGACTACCATAGCACTTATTACAATACCTAAGACATTGTGGCTACTCAAATCAATGTTGTTGGTGGTGGGGTTTTTTTAAACTTTAATTTAGAAATAACAACCATGCAAGAATTAGTGACACTAGTTTCTCTGAAAATGATGGAATCCATAGATTTCTCTCTGGTGAGCCATTTCCTCATATCAACGTTGGAAAATTACCTGGAGGTTTTCTGCTTCATCGAAGCAGAGAAGACAATTAAAGGTAGTATTACTTGGAATATTTGAAGTATAAATCACAAAAACAAGGTGGAAAGAAATCATAGAAAAGTATGATGGTCAACAAGGGCTTTTTCAAGAGAGGTAAAAAGATAAGAATTAGAATAAGATATTGTAATCAAAGAAAAGATTAACGATTGAAAACTAAGAATAGTCTAATTTAAAATATTTTAGACGTTCAGAGTTCTAAGGGGAAAAAATAAGTACAAGTCATTAGTTTAAATTGCTCAAATTTCTGTTTAATTTATTTGTTTAAATCTCAGATTGCCAAAATAGGGAAAATAAAGAAATAAATCTCAGATTGCCATTCTCTATCTATCCTGTTTCTCCTTCAGAACAGATCCTGTTTGTTGCCGCTCTGTCATCTTATTCTTAATTATAAATCATGGGGGATGAGGATAAAACAGTTAAACATGAAGATTTGGAACCATCCACAGGGGTGAATCACACAGCCTCTGCGTATCAACAAACACAGGTAAATCTGCAATCACATGACGTCCATCCCAACTATTTCCTTAAGGAAAGGACTATATGTTTCCAAATCTATGATAGAATTGTTTTATTTTCATTATATCACTCAGTTAACAATTCTCCCTGTTCTTTAATTTTTTATGTTTTTATTGATTTCAGGAGGAAGGGAGAGGGGGAGAAAGATAGAAACATCAATGATGAGAGAGAATCATTGATTGGCTGCCTCCTGCACGCCCCCTACTAGGGATCCAGCCCACAACCCCGGCATGTGCCCTGACTGGGAATCAAACTGTGACCTCCTGATTTATAGGTTGAAGCTCAAACACTGAGCCACACCATCTGGGTAATTATTCCTGTTCTTAATCCCCAAACTCATACAGTCCAGGGTAGGTGTGACTACCAGTTTTCCCAGATAGTTATTAGCAGCTGGCCCAACATAAGGCTAGAAAAATAAAGAGCCTGTGAAATTCTTTATGTTCCCAGCCAAACCCTTACTATATCTAGTAGTTTTTTTGTTGCTTAAATTCAAGCAGATGAATAAGTGAGAGTTGATTTTCACCAAAGATAGTTATCTTCTTCTGGATTACTTTTATATATTTACCAACTATTGCATTAAATCATATCTTTTTGTTTGTTTGTTTTTAATCCTCACCTGAGGATATGTTTTATTGACTTTTTAGAGAAAGAAGCAGGGAGAGAGAGAGAAAGAGAAACATCATGGGAGAGAGAAACATGATGGTTGCCTCCCATAGCACCTTGACCAGTGATGAACCCACAACCTAGGCATGTGCCCTGATCAGGAAGCAAACCTGCAACCTTTTGGTGTATGAGACAACTCTCCAACCAACAGAGCCACTGAGCCAGGGCTTGAATCATATCTTAAATAGGCTCATTTTTAAACCCAGGATTGTAAAACATAATGAAATTTTATGTGACTCAAACATTTATAATGAGACAAATAATGACTCAATGGCAAATATACCCAATATAGTTCTTGTTCCAACTATTAGCTGATTAATAATAAAGCCATCCATTTCCCAGTACTAGCCTTGATTCTAGCAATGGGAGTTTGATTTGTGATGTGATGGCTCAGTAACTTAAAAAAATGTATAACAAATACACAATTTTAAGAATTTTTTCTAAAAATTTCTTTAAACACAGGAGGAACCTGTTACAAACCAAATAGGATTAGATGAAAGTGAATCAACTGAAGGAAGTAGTGTTATGACCAGCAGTGGAAAAAGACTACAAGAAACATCAACTGAACCAAATCATTTGCAAAGACTAAGGCAAACATTTGCTTGCCCTCCACATGGCTTACTGGATAAAGTCATAACAAACGGTATGTAAATGGTAAGGATGAATTCAGAAACAGAGGGTAAAACACAAAGTTGTTATATAATGGGAGATTCTAAATAATATGGTTTAAAGGACAAAAAGAAGTTACTTCTCTCTCACAAAAAAAACTACTAGGTGAAAAATTCACAACGGTAAGTTGCTCTGCTCCACACAGTCATTCAGGGGCCCAGGCTGAAGGGCTCCACCATGTTTCACACCAGGCTTCCAAGAGCACTGTGGTTATCACCATTCCAGATGCCTGGAAGAGGCAAAGAGCAGGGATCGAGGACCTTTTCCTTTTCTGTATCTGAGTTATTTCACAGGGTATGTTAGGGCTCCAATAAGAAAAGTGATTGAGAAATTGCTTGTAAACAGAAAAGCACTACAGAAGTGTTGGTTGTTATTACTGTGAGTTAATGCAACCAATGTTCGAGGGAACACAGTTCAGTTTATACTTCCAAATGAATCGTGTCATTTTATAAGTAAAGGTCTTGGTTTGCAATTCAACTTATTCCAATAAAGGTGTTATTACTTAAAATATTTTGGGGATTTTTCTTTGGGGAATTTATTTCAACATGGTTTTGAATATTGTTAGGGTTGAGATCTATTTGTCTTTTAGGCATGGATTTGGTTTTTGGAGGCAGCCAGACATTATTCTGATACCAATTTGATGAATAAATGGATGTTCAAACTGAGTAATGCTGGGTTTTGTTCAAGAAAGGAAGTGCATGCGTTTGTGTTTATGTGTGTGCTATGTATATTGGAGGATGTGTAGTATAATAGGAAAAAGGGGGAGGGGTTTGAAAATTGCCTGTAAAGGCAAATTTAAAAACAATTTCACAAATTGTATTGAGGAATGACAGCATCATCAAAATAAATATATTGCCTCCCAAAGAAAATATGTTGGAAAATGTAAGACAATTGATCTAGAAATTATGTTTACTGAAAAATCAGACTCACTTCTTTGTAGTTGTATTTCATTTGGGAGCTCTGAACGCCATTTTTATCATTCTCAACTGGGGCAATGGACGCCAAGTATAATACATTAGGTATACTTTAGGGCCTAGACATGTTTTCAATGAAATTAGGTCTGTTTCTAAACTACCATGAGAAAAATAAACCTCAAACTTCGCTTAAAACACATAGAAAAAACCATGTTCCAAAATATAGCCATATAGTCAATATGGCTACAGATAATTTAATACCTTTTTTGTCCTTTGTATTTTTTTTTAACTTGCACCATTAAGTTATGGCACATTTCTAGTTAAAACATTTGCAGTAAAACAGATAAAAATGGGGTATAAATTAGTGGTGTGATTTTGAGACTAATTTTTTAAAAATTCTATAGTCATTGTCCATCCAGGTGCCAGAGAAATGTGACTCAGTATATAAATACCTCTTTACTTGTTTCCTGTACTTCTATTTCTAAGGCTTACCAGACTGCTTTTTTCCTATACTACTTCCTGTGCCCATTCAGAATAAATAAGTATTCTTCTTAAGAAGTAAATGTTACATGTGAATATGCAAATTACCAAAATCATAAATGAGAAGTAAATTATTAACTGAATTAAATGTGATTTATGGAAATCTTATAAATGTACATTTGCTATGTATTTAGAACTGCATTTTGAATATGGGGAATGAAAAGAAAATTCAAGGTTTAAAAAAGTGGTCTTAAAGTAGGAAAAAAATTTAAAATTATTAACACAGTGTTTATTTCCATCAATATATAATTTATATTATCAATGTATATTTATTGGCCAAGTATATTGCCAATATGTACTTATTAACACAGTAATTATTTGTTCTCATCAATAAGTGGATAACCAGATCTCATTATGAGATAATAAAGTTCCATTAAAGTAGAAAACTCCTAATTCTACCTGGCTGATACTTTTTTAGTATAAAAAAATAGGTTTATGCTGTGAGAAAGTAAAATTTAGTAGCTGACAATTCCTGCTTCCCCATTACACCTCTAATACTGCATAGAAATTTCAGTCCCTATAGCTGTTGGAAAATACAAAGGCCTCTTAGTTATTTAACTGTAATAGCATCATAAGCCTAGAAAATCTGGAACAATTCCATGAGGGTTTAAAAAATGGAATGTTGGATTCGATCTCTAGCAATGTGGTAGATAAGACTCAATGAACAATTTTACTTTTACCAATGAAAACATCTGAAAAAAAATTTTAAGTCTTTTTTAATGTATCTTTTATCTATCAAGGAAACAGGAAATCATCAGGACACCAAAACAAAGTATAAGAGAGAGAAATAAGCCCTCAATTTAGCTGTCACCCTGAAGGCTTCTGCAAAACACCAATGAACTTGAGATTTATTTTAAGAACTAAGAGTATAAGAGGCTACACTAGAGCCTAAGTTGGGAGATGTGTAATAGGAGAAATCATTCTCCCTTACCCATACAGCTGGAACCCAGTGTCATGGTGAATTTGAGGTAAACCTGCCCTAAAGATGGGGCCAGCAGCTGAACCTATCTGTGGGAGAGTATCGACTAAAAATGTGTAACTTCATGCTGATTTGTGTTCCAAAGTCAGTGAAGAAAATCAAGCTGAAAATATGTCTAAAAGTGGTCCTGAATTATTAGCTTCTGAGTGCATGACAGAAGCAAATTCAGAGCCTATCTGGCAAAGCTCACATTCAACCTGAGGCTCCAACAACTCTCAAAGATAAAGTTCCAAGGAAGTGGTTACTATTGCAAAACAAACTAAAAAATATCACAACGTGAATAAGGAAACAGATTTCAAAATTTTGCATTATATGAAAATTTAATATAAAATATTTTTGGTATCTATAAAGAAGTTGAGATGATAATTATGAGTGCAAAGTAAGTAACTATTTTTAAAATGAACAAAGATATTCTATTAAGAAACAAATTGAATTTCTAGAAATGAAGGATAGGGTATAGTAATTGAAATAGAAAACTTAGTAGCTAGATTAGGCAACAAAGTAATAAAAAGGGAGTTGATAAACTAGCAAATACATCTGAAGAGATTATCGAGAATGTAGTACACACAGACAAAAATAGATAATATGAAAACGAGGGTTAGCAACATATGTGTAACTATCCAGTCATAGTTCCAGAAAAGGAGAATAGGAAGAATGGCGAAGAAATACTTGAAGAAATGAAGACAGAATTTTCCAAAATTGATGAACACCAAAAACTAAGCGAACCAAAAGGAATCCATTCTAAACATAACATAATTAAAAACAGCCAAAGAAAAATTCCCTAAAAGAACTGAAATTAAACTTAAAATGAAATTAACAACAGCAAAAGCCAGAAAAGAGTAATAATATTTTCAAGGAACTGAGAAAGTCTCAACCTAGGATTGTATACCCAGAACAACTATCTATTAAAAATGAAAATGAAGGTAATTCTAGACAAATAGAACAGAATGGACTACCAAGAGATCCTAATGAGAAACATAGCATACTTCACTGCCAAGTGTTTCTGTACCACTCAGCTCATTTGAAATGGTAAATAGGGAATCATGTCAGTGTAATATGAAATTTGCATTTTTGTACATAATTTTTCCTGGCACATTAATACTTTGTCTCATCAAGCAATAGAAGTGAATTGAAAACAAAAAGAAATCTGGTATATGCTTTCTTACAATTAAAGATTAAGACCTTGCCCAGCAGGTTTGGCTCAGTGGATAGAGCGTCAGCCTGCAGACTGAAGGGTCCCAGGTTTAATTCCAGTCAATGGCACATGTCCAGGTTGTGGGCTTGATCCCCAGTAGGGGGCGGGGAGGAGGCAGGCAATCAATGATTCTTTTTCATCATTGATGTTTCTATCTCTCTCTCCCTCTCCTTTCCTCTCTGAAATCAACAAAAATATTTTAAAAGTTTTTTTTTAAAAAAAGATTAAAGCCTTGCTAATATAAGGACCTTTTAAAAAGCTGAGCTCTCTGTGGAAGTGCCTTCCTTTCAGGCAGTCAGTTGCTGGTGTAGGAACTTCATAAGACCATTAACTTTCTACGTTACGCTGCCTAATGAAACCATTTGTCAGTGACGAAGCTGACAGTACAGATGAAGAAGCTGCCAACACTTTTCACTCAGTTAATAAAACCAAACATTACAACATTTGATTGATGGAGAAGACTGCAGATTTAGATGAAACTCCTCTCTATTTAAGGCAAAGCCCTCAAGATTCTCCATCTTGAAATAGGAAGTGTGGTTCCAGGGTTATAGTCGGCAAAGAAGAGACTGAAGGAGGGAGAGACACATGTCAGTGGAGATTTAACTGTGTTGCCACTTTTTTTTCAGGATGGTTATTATTTTTGTTAGTGCTTTGGTCACAAGTTTTGAGTTTAGAGTGGTCTGGCCAACTCTGTTTTCCCATGAGCCTTTCTATTTTCAGTGTATAGTTTTGTAGAACACAAGGTTTTCAAACAGGGAAAAGTATTTCACATTCTAAGAAATGCCTCTACTAAAGGGAATACTTCAGGCAACTATTGTCTCAGGTGAAAGGTGTGAGATGCCATAGTGAATGATGATTAAAAAAAAATAGGTAAGGCCCGGCCAGTGTGGCTCGGTGGTTGAGCATTGACCTATAAACCAGAAGATCACGGTTCGATTCTCAGTCAGGACACATGCCTGGGTTGTGGGCTCGATCTCCAGTGGGGGCCATGCAGGAAGCAGCCAATCAATGATTCTCTCTCATCTTTGATGTTTCCATCTCTATCTCCCTCTCCCTTCCTCTCTGATATCAATAAAAATATATTTTAAAAAATAGGTAAGTATGTGGGTAATTCTAAACAAACAGTGACTGTAGAAAAGAAATAATAATGTCTACTTCAATGCAGAACTAAAATACTGGCATGTGATTGTTCAAGTATTCTCATGTTCCTGTGAAGAGGGTAAAGATAGTGATTCTCTTTTTAATATTAACTACTGAGATACTTATGGTAAAATTATAAAGAAAAATAAGAAAATGGCAAAAAAAAATTCAAGATAGTAGTTCCTTCTGGCAGGGTGAGAGGAACTGGGGATGGAGCTAGGAGGGGGCACTTAGGTGGATTCAAGGCCAGGCGTAACAGTCTGTTTCCTCAGATGTGGGTTATTACCTGATTGTTCATAGTAATTATGTTCTCAAATTTACACATGGTTATAAGTATTTGTGTACGTATTCAATGTGTTGTTTTTTAATTTCGGTTATATTTAAACCTGCATATAACAACTTACTGATAAAAACTCGTTTTCCTGGTTTATTTCAGTTACCATGGCTATTCTCCTGTGGGCTGTAGTTTGGTCAATCACTGGCAGTGAATGTCTTCCCGGAGGAAACCTGTTTGGGATTATAATCCTTTTCTATTGTGCCGTCATCGGAGGCAAACTTTTGGGGCTCATCAAGTTACCTAGGTTGCCTCCACTGCCTCCTCTTCTTGGTAAGTGCTAAACACTTCCTGTCTTCTTCAGTGTAAATCCTGTTTTAAGAATAGTAGTTTGGAAATAAAGGAATAAACTATTTCTGTATTTTCTGTGCTAGAGCTAAACACTGAAAATTAGATTTTGAGGAATTTTATGAGCCCGTAGTGAAAAATGGTGATTTCAAAAAATTAAATTATAAATACTTACCGCCCATTTCTTTCAACTACACATTCGGTAACATCATGTTCACAGCTTAACATGGGCCAGGATGGAAGTATTTATAAGACAGAAATCAGCATATGCTACACATCAAGACTTGATATCTTGTAAGTCACTCACATTTTTGACAAACCAGTGAGGTTCCAACACATATCTTCTTATTCATTTATATAAACAAACAAAAATATCAACCGATATTTCTGGTGATGCTAGCTAGTACTCACTCATCGGTGATGTGAGCAACTTCTTTGCTAATTTATTTCAATAAGGATTTGCTCCTAAATAACTTGGGAGTATTTGAAGTAAAATTGGCCTTTTGTTGATAATTCTTGTATGTTAAAAAAAACTTTCTATAATAACAAATTAAGGGGAAAAAAAGAATATACCTTATCAAAGAAGGTATTCTTTCCTCTACAACCAAGGCAGAGTTTTCTGTGTGCTTAGAGGCAAGAAGGGGACACCTGCCATATCACACGCAGGTGGCCACATCAACCCAGACCTCTGGCAGAGGAAACACGGTCCCAGGGAAATTGTTTAACATTCACTTGGAGAATAAAAAGTCCTCCTTCCATAAGATGTTTTTGAATTTTTATAAGATTATTATTCCTTTTGATTTCAGGTAGTTATATGCTTTAATCACTATAGTGATTGCCCTAGCTGGTATTGATTGCCCTAGCTGGTTTGGCTCATTGGCCTGCAGACTGAGGGTCCCAGGTTCAATTCTGGTCAAGGGCACATGCCTGGGTTGTGGGCTCAATTCCCCGTGTGGGGCATGCAGGAGGTAGCCAATCAATGATTCTCTCTCATCATTGATGTTTCTATCTCTTTCTCCCTCTCTGAAATCAATAAAAATATTATATATATATATATATAAAATATTTTTTATTATATATACTGCCTGTTTGGGGACAGCACCAAGAATAAAGCCCCTCCCTTTCTCTGACAGAGATATAGGCCATAGTTATAAGTAATGAGCAGAGAGAAACATATTTTTGATGCACAAAACCCTATACAAATGAGGTGTTCAGGACTAACTATACTGGCTTAGGAAACTGCCTGGTATATAGAATGAGTCTCAAGTAAGCTTTTCTAAAATGCTTTTATTCATGTATGTCTTTGAATATAGAATGAATATTCTTGGGGATGAGTCTTTAACCTGGGTTCATACTGGGGCCACAGGTTATACATAAAGCCAGTGATATATATATATATATCACTGATTTAGATCCATATTTTAAGTTTCAGTAAGAAACTATTGACATAGAATGAAATGTATGGTTAGTGCAACATTTTTGGCCAAAGGTTCATCAATATCTATTAAAATGTTATATGCACCTGTACCCTAGAGCCTAATATTTCCACTTCTATGAATTATCCTATGGATACACTTGCATAAACCTACAAATATATAAGCACCATCTGAACAGGAACTGTGTTCATCTAGCTCACCTCTGTATTACCAGGGTATCATAAGGGTCTGGCATGTAGTAGGCACTTTAAATATTTGATATATGAACTGGTCCATTAATTGGTCCCAAATTATATCTCCAAACAATGGGATACTATTATAGCTAAAAGAATAAGGCAAATACTAATGTGCTTTATTCAGAATATATTCAGAATATATAGTTAAGTGGGGGAAAAACCCAAATTGTACAACAGAATTTACATGTGCTGCCATTTGCGCCAACACAAAGTGCACCCGCACACACAAACAGGCATGCTTAAGGAGGTAAAGAGACGTTCAGGGAGGGCACAAAAAACCCTTCACAGTCCTGGCCGGTTTGGCTCAGTGGATAGAGCGTCAGCCTGCAGACTCAAGGGTCCCGGGTTCGATTCCAGTCAGGGGCATGTGCCTTGGTTGTGGGCACATCCCCAGGGGAAAGTGTGCAGGAGGCAGCTGATCTATGTTTCTCTCTCATCGATGTTTCTAGCTCTCTGTCCCTCTCCCCTCCTCTCTATAAAAAAAATCAATAAAATATATTTATTTTTAAAAAACCATTCACAGTGGAAACTTTGGGGGAATGAAGATAGAAAGTTACAGGTGGGGTTGGGCATGTACTTGTTACTGTAATGTTTTAATTTTACCATGGGTATATATTATTCTTATCATTATTCTTTTAAAAAGAATAGACTAATTCATAGTTTATCAAAAAGTCTAGAAAGAATAGGACTGCAGAATCCAGAACTTTGAGACCATCTAGATTAAATGGCAGTGATGAGAGATGCCTGGAAATGATGCTCTCTTGCATGAAGTGGTCTGGTGCAAGTCACGAAAAGCTATGCTTGCAATTTATATCTATTCTAGTAGTTTACACACAGAAGGCCTCAACCTTACTCAATTTGTTTAGTCATTTAATGAGTGGTGCTTATAAGAACATGGCGGGAAGAGGGTGCTGACGGAGAAGGATGAAGGGCAGGAGCCTCACAATGTCTGACAGAGAAATCTTTCCCGTGGTGTGGGCGTGATATCAACAAGGGCAGAATTCGCTCACAATTCAGCCTCCTCAGTCACACTCAACTACTTGCAGGTCTCAGAATGTGTCCCACTTTCTCTTCCTACCTTGGAAGAAACTTCTGTGTCTGCCATAGACGACTCAGCTCTCCTAACCCTGCCTTTCTCCCCTTCCCCTTCTTCGGATCTCTGGGACTCACATCTCCTGTCTCAGTTCATACTGATGCTCCCTTAACATTGAGATGTCAGCTCATCTTGCTCCCCTACTGGCTGAAAGCAGTACTGAGTCCTTGCTCATTATCTCAATACCTACTACAGCAAGAATGTCAAACTCAAAGGCTAACACGGGCCAAATAAACAAGGTTTAAGTTTATGTGGGCCGCAAAAAAACAAAAGCTTCAATTTTCATAGAAACATAGGTTTATTTCAATAGAGACAAAGGGTTGAAATAAATGAGTAATCGTTAACATAAAATAATAGAACATTTTAATAAAAATTAATTTTTTTCTTGAACGTTAACTTACCAGACACTGAATAACTGCACAAATTAATAAACGTAACACAAATAAACCTATTTTTTATGTTCTCCAAAAGCGAAATATTTCCTGTTGTGCACACCAAACAAGTCATTCCAAGACTAATGACGTGGCAATCAGCTGCTGAAATATTCGCTGCTAGTATTAGTGGAGTGAAATGGTGCGCCTGCATGTAAGGTGTGTAAGGGAAATGAATGCAACACGATTATAGTAATCAGTCATTAGTGAACATTGTAGTTCATTATTAATAATCATGTATAACAGGACATTGTGAAAATTAAGTTACGAAATTTTTATTAAAACGTTTCTTACATACTGTTATATTGGCTGGGCCGCATGCAGCCCGCGGGCCATGAGTTTGACATGCTTGTACTACAGTGTCTCAGATATTGAAGGCAGTGGTATGTGTTTAATGACTGAAAGAAAGGAGGCACCAGCTGACATGATAGAGCAATATCCAATTCACCAAAACTCACTTTTAAGCCTTTGTAAAGCAGGTTATGTTTTTTTATTAAATTATCTGGCTTAAAGGTAAAATAGAGCCCATAGAGCTGTTTATATTTATTTTAGGTAATCTGACTTAGCAAATAATTTTAGGAGCTATTTGCTAGTTGCACATAAAGAGATGACTGAATTAGGCATTTTATTAAAACATTTAATATTTGATCACACTTTCTAATACTGCCTCCTATTTCTCTCTTTCAATTTCAGTTATCCTAATAATTATTCTAATCTGTCCTTTTAATTTGCATATTAAAGCTTTTTCTTTGCTCCTGTATTATATTAATTTTAAATTAAAGTTTAATGTAATTTTATCTGAGGGCTAAGCATAAAGGAAGTGGTTCCTGAGATTACAGAGTAGTCTCTCTCACATCCACAGTGCCAAAAAGTGTTTTCTGTATTTGAAAACTATCTAAAGGGTTGTTTGACTTCTCCATTCCAGGCATGCTGCTTGCTGGGTTTCTCATAAAAAATATCCCTGTCATCAATGATAATGTACAGATCAAGCACAAGTGGTCCTCTGCTTTGAGAAGTATAGCCCTGTCTATCATATTGGTTCGTGCTGGCCTTGGGCTTGATTCAAAGGTACTGAAGTTGTAAATGTCTAACTGTTGACTAGGAATTTTATTCTTCCCATGTCACAAGTATTAGAATCCCTGAGCTTTAGGAAATGGATGTGGACTCTTTGCATGGCATTCTCAAAAAGACAACGCAATTTATTTCATGCAGGACTGTCCCCAGAAGATGTCCCCATACTCTTTCTTGGAGAAGGTGGAGTTACTGCCTGTTTGGGGACAGCACCAAGAATAAAGCCCCTCCCTTTCTCTGACAGAGATATAGGCCATAATTATAAGTAATGAGCAGAGAGAAACATATTTTTGATGCACAAAACCCTATACAAATGAGGTGTTCAGGACTAACTATACTGGCTTAGGAAACTGCCTGGTATATAGAATGAGTCTCTAGTATGCTTTTTAAAAATGCTTTTATTCATGTATGTCTTTGAATATAGAATGAATATTCTTGGGGATGAGTCTTTAACCTGGGTTCATACTGGGGCCACAGGTTATACATAAAGCCAACACTGAGACGGTTAAACCGGTGTGGAGATTATGAGCTGCCTTCCTGGATTCAAACCTAACTCCACCCCTCACCAATTTCATGATCTTGGGCAAACCACTTGAACTTGTGCCTTTTCAGATGAACACATCTAAAACACGGTGGTGATAATATTACGTGTATCCTAGGGTTACTATGAGGACTAAATAAGCTATCTCTAAAACACTTAGAACACTGAAATGTTTGTAGAATAAAACGCATTACCTGGAAACTTCATGATGATCCAGACATGGTCTCAATACTGAAGAAAAAGCAATTCATGTCATTTTCCCTGTGTGTCTTTAGCAGATTGCTTTAGAATGTCTGTTTTTATATTGCAGGCCCTGCAGAAGTTGAAGGGTGTTTGTATGCGATTATCCGTCGGTCCGTGTCTTGTGGAGGCATGCACATCCGCTCTTCTTGCCCACTTCCTGATGGGTTTACCATGGCAATGGGCATTTATACTGGGGTAATGATTTTTCCTTGTCGTATGAAAATATGCATGGATATTTAGAACTTTCTCTAATTCGATACAAGAGAATGCATGATAGCATTTTCTTAAGGACATCAGAAAATACAAAATGGATATTTTAGCACGATATTTAAGTATTAATATTCCAACATGTAAATATTATAACTTGAAAATAGAGTACACATCTTTGTCGGTGCTAACTTTTACAGTGGTTATAATAATTTATACGATTGAGGAAGTAATCGACTTTTTAACTACATCTGACTCCACGCTGCTGAGAGAGCTGTTGGATCTCCCTCCAGAGTCTGCACAAAGGATCATTGAGACATCAGCAGTGATCACCTGGTACCGTTTTCCTCTAGGCCAGTGGTTCTCAACCTTCTGGCCCTTTAAATACAGTTCCTCATGTTGTGACCCAACCATAAAATTATTTTCGTTGCTACTTCATAACTGTAATGTTGCTACTGTTATGAATCGTAATGTCAATATCTGATATGCAGAATGGTCTTAGACGACCCCTGTGAAAAGGTTGTTTGACCACCAAAGGGGTCGCGACCCACAGGTTGAGAACCACTGCTCTAGACTATTGTGATTAGGGGATTCTGCTGCCTCTTCCTTGCATTGTCAGTTACTATTTCCAACGGCTGAGGGCCAGGAGAGGTAAATAAATATAAATTGCTTAGTAAAATTGTAGGGTAATAAGTAGGTGAGAAGTTAGTTATTGCTTCTCATGAGTAAGACTCTGGAGCTATATTCTGCCTGGGCTCAGGTCTCAACTCTGTAACTTTCCAGTGTGTGATCTCTGGCAAGTTACCTAATCTCTCTGTGCCTCAATGTCTTCATTTGCAAAATGAACAGAATGATTGTAGCTACTTCATAGGGTTGTTGTGAGGATTAAATTATTTAATATATGCAAACTGCTTAAAATGGGGTTTGGCACATGGTAAGCTCTGTAACATGCTCCTTCTGTTACTACTGCTGCTATTCTTAGTATCACTGTCACTGTCAGGATGGCCTTCCCCTTCCTAGTCTGTTGTCCTATTTTACATGCCAAGGCCCGGTAGAAGGCCTGAGATCACTGGGTTCCAATCCACAGATCCATGGCCAACTTTTTAAAATGGCAGTTTCCTGGAGCCTAACCTCATTAGGTCTTCTAGACCACCCATAAATGCAGATATATATTAGGCAACCAAAGTGCTTACAGTGCAGGTGGTGCGTGGCCACAGTTTGTCAAGTGTTCTGTAGAACTTGTATGTGTGTATGTGTTTCTGGTTTGATGCATCACTGCCCTTCAAAAGACTATCTAATGTGTGTGCTCTAAAAGAGCAGAGGTTATTGTAATTTCATAACAATGATGATGAGTGAGATACTACCATAAATGTTTAAGCACTGCCTGCTTAGTTTTGTTGTAGGTGCTGTCTCTCCAGCTGTCGTGGTGCCTTCAATGCTCCTTTTGCAGGAAGGAGGATATGGTGTTGAAAAAGGTGTCCCAACCTTACTCATAGCAGCTGGCAGCTTCGATGACATTCTGGCCATCACTGGCTTCAACACATGCTTAGGCATGGCCTTTTCCACAGGTACATTGATCAGTTCACAATATGCTGTTCTCTGAACTCTAGAGATAGATTGTGATGACATAAGCATGGCATATTTGCTTGATGATTGATTAAGGCAAATTGAAATAGAGAAAGCAACTGCAAGAGTTAGGTCCTTACCTAAGCGGGGACCAGTAGCTTTCTAGCTTTACTCCCTTAACCCAGACTGCTCAAGTAGCATGGGAGGTGCACAAAGGGGGATGCAAAGTAGCAAAGTTTAAAGGAGAACAGCTTCTGTATGGAGACCTCACACAAGGGATGAGTAGGTTTTTCAATGAGCCCAGAGGACAGAGAACATTCCAAGTGGAAGGAACAATTTCTGTTTTCTCATCTTTAACATTTTATGAGTAATAACAACAATGATTTTAATAAATAGCCTATTAATACTTGATAATTGTTGATATGGATGTATTTTGGTTTAAGTAGTAAGAAAAGAGGAACACACCTTAGGAAGTTATGTATTCTCTCTCCAGCCCCCAGTAGTTATATTAGCCATTTATGGTTATATATGATTTACACTGATTACCTAGAACCTCACCTCTTCCCGTTGCCCCATTTGCCTCACACCCAGTCCCTGTCATTTCTCACTAGTAAATCAATCTTATCAGAATATGGTTTTTATAATGTTACTTTCTTGTTCACGAAACAATGAAGATTCCCTATTACCTATTAAATCAAATCTAATGGTTCTCAGCCTCAGCTGCACACATGTCAATGTAAGAAACATCCAAACCTGCAGAGAATTTTTATGCATTTATTTGGGCCAAACTAACTACAAGTGCCTGGAAGCAAAATCTCAACATATTGAGACAATGTTCCAAAGAATAGCGGTTTTACAGCTTATTTTATACATTAGAATCAAAAGAGGAGCTGTATGTGGGGGAGGGGGTGCTACATAAAATTCATTGGTGGTTGATTAGGGAGGCAGGAGAAAGCAAAACAGTGAAATCTCTGAGATTGGATAAAGAATAAGACATACTTCTTTTTCATTGGTGGACATAGGATAGTTAACTCTTCACATTTACAGCGCACAGAGATGGTATGTGGGGAACAAGGTAACAATGAGGGGCCTGTGATCTGGTGGGAGGTGTGCTCTGAGGGATCTGGAAAATGAGATTACTCTGACGTTGCAAATGTATGTTATCTTAGATGGAGAAAGATAATAGGCTCATCAGGGTAAAGACTGACATTTGCCAAGGAAGCTACAGGGAGAGGATGTGACTAGACACCATGACTCACTTTTAGTTAGGAATTTTTATTATTCAAACCATCCTATGTGGTTACTTTTGGTCTCTGAGTTTGTAAGATCCTCCATGCAGGCCTCTCCTGAGTTTGTCAGGTTTAGTATGAGGTTACTTTTTGTCCACACTAGAATTACATAGGGAGTGGGGGAATTTAAAAAATATTCATATATGGGCCCTACCTTAGACCAGTTAAATCAAAACCTTTGGGAATAGAAAACACAACTTTAGAGTGTTAAAAAAATATATCAACCAAATAAACTTGAACATCTAATTGGCCTTATTAAGTGATTCATGAATCAGGTATATCCCATCTAACTACTAGAAGACACCCTATGGGGTTGTACAAAATGGAAGATTGCCATAGAAAGAAAGATTTAACAATAGAAAAGAAAGGATTATTTTTAGAAAAAACTGTCTGTTGGGGTGTGGGGTGATAGACAAGAATTTTTATCATGCTGATTGCCTATGAATAAGATTGTATTTCTAAGAGATGTTGAAACTGCAGTTAAATCAGGTGTTAAATCTAGGTTTGATATCATGGGCTTTTGCACGAGTGACACCATTGTGGGCCTACGGTTTTCTCTTTAACAATAGTAACAGAGTTTGCATTAGAATCATTGGGGAGGAAGAAGAATAGGGACAGAGAGGGCAGTGGGGAGGGTCTCCTTGGGTGTTCATAATCTGGGGGGTCGGAGGCTGTGGATAGCTTAAAAACCTTCCTTGTTGCCTTAACCGGTTTGGCTCAGTGGATAGAGCGTCGGCCTGTGGACTGAAAGATGGGAACTACCTGGAGCCTCTTTAAAATGTGGATCCCAAGCCCTGACAGACCTACTGAATCAGAATTTTCAGAGGTGCGACCCAGGAAGTCTTTTTTTTAAACAACTTTACTATATGAGACTGACAGTCATTGGCACTTTCTACACATTTATAGTTGATTATTTACTGTAATAGGTCGAGATATATGTTATTATTGTATACTTTTGACAGTCATACTTTGCCTAACAGAGAGTTGTCTGAACTAAATAGAATTACTATAAGGTATTACATTTATTTATTTATTAATTTTTCACAGAGAGGAAGGGAAAGGAATAGAGTTAGAAACATCGATCAGCTGCCTCCTGCACGCCCCCTACTGGGGATGTGCCCACAACCAAGGTACATGCCCTTGACCGGAATCGAGCCTTAGACCCTTCAGTCCGCAGGCTGACACTCTATCCACTGAGCCAAACTGGTCAGGGCCAAGGTATTACATTTTTTAATAAGAGAGATGATTGAAACTATAGGAGAAGAAAAACTGGTTTACCTCTATCCATTTTAGGTTCCTTGTCTGGGGCCCTGTAAATTAGACTGACAAAAGACAGATTAACAAGGGAAAAACAGTTTATTAGCATGTGTATTGTGCTACATATACAAGGGAGTACTCAGTGATGAGTAACTCAAAGGAGTGGTTAGAACTTGGGCTTATGTGGCACCTTAGCAAGAAACAATAATTTTGTAGAAAGTTTCCAGACAAAGGATAAGGACTTTTGAGTTTTTAGGGCAGCAAATTATGGAAAGGCAAATGTATGAGAAAATTAATGGTAGATGAGGGTTGGTCTTAGCAAAAACTGTTATGTAGATTCCTCTGGTGCCATCTCTGAGTTTATGAGGGTCCCTGGCTTTTCAGTGGTTAATTTCTGTCCTTCCTGGTAGAAAGGGGAGAGGGACATCTTTACAAATTTATAGCCAGCTTTGAAGCAAATACAGGGAGTATAGGGAACTTTTCGTGTATCTTTCTCCTCAGCTCAAACATCCTTACGCCAAAATAGCATATTGTGGGGAATAACAAGTAGCAGAATAACAAGAAACCACCACAACTCATTAATACATTTATTCTGAGGATAGTGTTGAAGAAAGGCTTTATGTGTTGAGCAATTTTAATAAAATTTTTTGTACAATGTGTTAACAGAGATTTGTTTCATTGAAGTGGCCTAAATCTTTTATGCTATGGTGGAAAATATAGTTCTACTCACCTCTCCATATTATGATATTTCAAAGAAGCTAGACTTCTAAGGGCAATTTCAAAAATAATTTTTTTAATTTTATTTTTCAGTTACAGTTGGCCATTTAATGTTACTTTATATTAGTTTCAGGTGTACAGCCTAGTAGTTAGGCAATGATATAATATACCAAGTGATCTTCCTGATAATTCACTTACTCAGCTGACACCATACATAGTTATTACAATACTATTGACTATAGTTTCTATGCTGTACTTTACATCCCCAGGACTTTTTTTCAGATTTACTTTTAGAATAAACATTTGAGAAGGGGTAAGTCCCTTACACTCATTGTGGTAAGAAAAGAATCTTGATTTTAATTGCCAGATTCTTAAATTACTATATTCTATACATATCAGAGCTACTCAAAATTAATGTACACTTATTATTAAAAAATCAGGCTCTCAAATGGCACTTTGAAAACTAGATCTGTCTATGTACATAGCCTATGCATATAATATAGCAGAACAAGTTATCTCTGAATCATGAATTTTACCTTTCATGTTTTCTTGGCCTCTTTAAGTAAATCTTTATGGCAGTAGACAAGTCATAACTTATGTCTGCTTTGAAATTTATCTCCTACATATACATACCTTTCTTATAAGACAGGTCTATTAGACATTATATATACGGTGTCCCCAAAAATGTATATACACTTTAACTCACTTAATTTTTACTCTTTTTTGGGTTAAACTGATTTGAAATAATGGGTGAAACCAGACTAAGATTAGAACAAAAAAAAACTTATCCTAAAGTGCCACTGGACTTTTTTTTAATGGGAATACATTAAAGATAAAGTTTATGGTTAAAAAAAAAACAGCAACAGTCGACTAATTGAGGGCACACAAATAAAAGAAAATGATTCTTAATGTTTTCGATTCCATTGCTTCTCATTATCAGCAGTGCCTGGATCCGAATGGTCATCAGTTTGAAAACAGACATTGAGAAAAAAAAACACCAATTCATTTCTGTAGATTCTTTTAAATTTTGAAAATGAACTGTATGTTAATAAACACTGACTTTATAATCATTCAAAGTGTGTATACATTTTTTGGGGATACACTGTACTTAAGAATGCAGAGTCAGAAAATATCTGTACACTCTTCCTTCAATGTAATTTGATGTTTTATGTTGATGTTTAAAATCAAATCTGTTTATTTGTGGATTTAGAGTTTTGTCTGAGGTTTTCCGTTTTATGTGTTTTTAAGGCTCCACAGTTTTTAATGTCTTCAGAGGAGTTTTGGAGGTGTTAATTGGTGTGGCAGCTGGATTTCTTCTTGGATTTTTCATTAAGTACTTTCCAAGCAGTGATCAGGTAAAAGAAATAATCTGCAAGAAAGTCATGCTCTAAAGTATCATTGGAAAAACATTATGGAGCACTTCCTTCAAAGCTGATGGGAAGGGCAGGACTTAGAAAATGCCCCCCATTTCATACTGCTTGTTGCTCTCACAGTGCTGTCCATGAGCTTTATAAAGAGGACTAAATGCATGAGATTTGAATGCAGTCCTGAAAGTGTTTCTCAACTTTTATTCTGTACATTTTAAGTTTCACTGTAAAACAAATAACAATTCCAAAACAATATGATATGCAAGTTTTTAATTTTTTAAAATTCATTTATTTTAACTTTATTTCTATTTGTGTCTATTTGTTTTTACTTATAGTTCATAAAACTCAACTAAATTAAGATATAAAATGGCTGTTTGAGCCCCCTTTTTAGTATCAAAATACTTTAGATTCTAATACTATCAAATATACCTTAATGTTTCATTACAATATAGTCCAATATTTCTAACCAAGGAAATCAAAGTTCTTTATTGTTCACAATGATTTCTTAATGATTACTGTCCTAAGTTCCTTAGGATAAATAAATTAAAAAAAATTTTCTCTATATGAATTGGCATTTTGAAGATTTCAAAGTATTCTGAATGGGATTAGAAACAACTAAAGTAGAAATTTAAGTAAGAAAATTATATTTGAATTTATATTGTACTCCACAAAACTCCTAGTAAAATTGTTTTGTAACAGGCCATTATAAAAACTTTATAAAAGATTTTTTTGAATGCAAAAAGAAAATGACAGGATTTTTCTGATTACACAACAAAATAAAAATGTGTGTAAAATTGTGCATAAAATGATATGGTAAGTTCAATAAAGTGCCACTCTGTTCCATATGGCAGCCACTAGCTACATGTGGCTGAGGCAGATATAGACACTTCCATAGACAGTGCAGATACAGACATTTCCATCACCACTGACCGTTCTATTGGGAAGCTCTGATCTAGTGCAATCCACTGGTAACCTATGATGTGAGTACTATTCATACAACCATTTTACTGACAAGGACATCAAAGCTTAGGGAGAAGTGACTTGAACAAGGTCACATGGCTAGACTGCAGTGCAGTAGGGAATTAACTTAGTTATTTCGCCTCCAGACCCTGCATGCGTCCAAGTCAAGCATTCTTAAAGGCCCTCCTGACTTCTAATGTTATCAAGAAGTTTTAAAGGCTGAACAGCAAAAAGTAAAGGGAAAGAGGGACACATTTCTTAGATTTTAAAAATCAACAACAAAAGTAAATAAACAAAAATAAACTCAACAACAACAAAACACAACACAATCGATAGCCTCTTAAAGCTTCCTGGTATTTAGAAAAACCAGGAGAGCATCACATTAAAGAATAAACAGAGAATATCTATAATAAAAATGATAGATATGTCATATCTTTATTCTTTACAAAATGCCCATGATGTATGTAACTAAGTCTTGAAGGTGAAAAAATCAGTAATATGAAATAATGGAGCTAACCAACCTTTTTTCCCCTCCAGAGCGAACTCATATGGAAGAGAGCCTTCCTTGTCCTGGGGCTCTCTGTGCTAGCGGTGTTCAGCAGCGCGTACTTGGGTTTCCCTGGGTCCGGAGGACTCTGCACATTGGTCATGGCTTTCCTTGCAGGCCTGGGATGGGCCAGCAAAAAGGTGCATTCCATTCTGTTCTTCTTGTAACTACTTAGTGACTAGATTAATTTTTCTTTCCAGATACTTTCTTAACATCAGGTTAATAAAATTATTTTAGCATAAAAGCTATTTTCTATGCAGAGATAAATGTATGCCCAAATGTACACACACACATTCTTTTTTCCTGTTACATACTAGTCTATAAGTTGAAATAAATCTTGGTCACATTCCCTGATGCCTTCTTATTCTTTGTAAGGACTGCAGAGTATTGCATTGTATAACTGCACTATACTTTATTAAACCAGTCTTCTACTCACAGACATTTAGATGTTTCCTGTTTTCTGCTAAACAAAAAAAATATCCTTATATATACCATAAACTCTAAGACACTAGCAAGTCTAAGAAGGAAGAAAAAGAATGTTAAAGTTAAACTCTGACATGACATCCTAATTTCAGAAATGTTTAAATGTGAGGAAATGTGTATCTTTAAATCAACAAAACATATCTTTGAGTTAATCTACAGGGTAATTTCTAGAGATAAGACTGCTCTATGAAAGAGGATGCACATTGATATTTTTTAATTTTACTTTTCAATTACAATTTAAGTATGTGTTATTTTGTGCTAGTTTCAGGTATACAGCATAGTGATTAGATAATCATATACTTTACAAAGTGTTCCCCTCAATATTTCCTGTACCCACCTGACACTGTGCATGGTTATTACAACATTATTGACTGTCATTTTGATAGTATCAATTTACTCTTTTTTTTTCAATTTACTCTTTTATTAAGGCTATACCATACTGTTAGGTAAAAAGTGGTATCTTGTTTTCTGTTTCTTTGATTAGCAGTAAAATTGAATACTTTTTCATATATTTAATCACTTGTATTTTCTTTTCTTTGATATATCTTTTGTCCAGTTTCTTCTGAAATCTAATGCATTGATTATTGATCTGTAAGATATACTAGTATACACGCATATATATGATATTAGCCTTTTTATATAGTTCATTTTTAACATACAAATGACATTTTTATGTAGTGAGATCTATGAGTCTCTTAGGACCTTTCCTCAATAGCTTTTTTTCTTAAAAATTTCTTTATTATGCGGGTAAAATCTTACATAAGTCATCGCATTTATTTTTTACAATAGCCTTGACAAATATATATTCGACCCACTTTACAGATGAGGACAACGAAGGCTTAGAGATATTAGACAGATTGTGCAGGGTCACAAAGGTGGTACGTGGCAGAGCCAGAATGAGAACACACCTTTAGACTACAGAGGGGCCCTGACTCACAGTGATTCAACTTAGGATTTTTTTACTTTACGATAATGGTGCTGAAGCAGTACACATTCAGTAGAAACTCTAGGTGCAGTTTTGAATTTTGATCTTTACCTGGGCCAGCGATATGCAGTCCGAAACCAGATACTTTTCCTGATGCTGAGCAGTGTCAGTGAGCCTCAGCTCCCAATCAGGCACGGGATCACGAGTAAACAACCAATACGCCAGAGTACTGTGTTGCCAGCATTTTTTGGATATTGTGTGTTATGTTTTTGTATCCCATCTTGTCAACAAAATGCCCATCTGTGGCTCTTGCTTCTAGTGAGAAGTGAAAGACAATTACTCTTAAGGAGAAACTAAAGATAATTGCTTACCTATAGGCTAACGTAAGTGTCCTGAGAACATTTAAGGTAGGCTAGGCTAAGCTATGATGTTTAGTAAGTTAAGTGCATTAAATGTATTTGATGGATATATTGGGACATAATCTCATCATAAATCAAGGAGTGTCTGTGTATCAATATGATTCCCTGAAGAAAGGAAAGGAAACAAATCTTCATTGAACAATCATGTGGCAGGCACTCTGCATACCTTTTGTAGTTCAGTACTCAGGAGAGTTCTCACTTCTGGAGACACCCGTCCAATGCATCCACATTTTGGACTTCTTTCCTCCCTTGGTCTGGAATATAGCATAAGGTCAAGAACTCTGACTGCATGAGTGAATCTCACCGGTACAATCTTGATCACATACAAGTAATCTTACTCCTCAGTCCTCAATTTCTGTATCTCTGAAGTGGGGAGGGACAATAGCAACAACTCCTACACTGGAGGACTAAGTGAAATAATCTCTAGAAAACAAAGTGCTTGGTCATAGAATGCACTCAGTAGATAATAGCCCAGATTATTTTTATACCTACTTCCAGAGCAGCGAAGCATAGTAAAAAGAGCATGAAATTTAAAATATGGAGATTGGGATTCCAATCCCAGTTCTACTATTCTCTACCTGTAAATCCCCCCAAAACATCACTTCCTTCTCTAACACTCAGTTTTCTTAACTGTAAAATGGAGAAAATAACAATATCTAAAGAATTGTTGGGACTATTATGTGGGAAAATGGATATGGAACACTTGTAAACTCAACAGTTCTATAGCAATATTGTTGACTTGTATTTTGAAAAACTAAAATATTTTATAAAATTTTATTTATGCCTATAGTTTTCATTTATGCCTATAATCTACCCTCCAAATTTCCAAGAAATCCACTGTCTATGGTACATGGGAAGGTGTATTGCTCAAGGGAGTTGACTATGAAATCACCCAGGAGTAGGCTGGGGGAGGCTGCTGGCCACTGGATGCTGCTGGCCACCAGGCACTGTAGGATCCTGGCCCTGGAGAAACCACCTGGTCTGCAGGAGCCTGGTGCTGTAGGATCCTGCTGGAGGAGCCACTGAAACCAGGAAGAGCACCTTCCTCTGGCAGTATCTCTTCAGCGCCCTCTACTGACAAAATTTAACATGGTGCTAGCTAGCAAAGGAGAAATATTTTAAAGAGCTTAAAGATGGGACTCCATTTTCCGAAGAGCAACAGAGAAAGGGGGCAAGGGACAATAAATTAATAACTGGAACAGCTTCTTATATGTAGATTTTATTTTTGTGCATAATTTGAAATGTCTTTAAAAGGTATTTTCTTGTAAAGATAAAATAAAATTGGAAATAAGTTAGAGGTCCATCAATAAAGAAATAATTCAATAAACTGTGGTACTTCCATACCAGATTCCTATGTAGCAATAATGAGGTACTTGGATATATATGCTAATATGAAATCTAAATCATATTGTTAAATTAAAATCAACATAAAATTTTAAACTATGAAAGAAAAGTATTATAGTATGTGAACACACACATACCATGCATTCAGAAGTAGTTCTTCTAAGATTACTTTATAAGACTATAATTAAGATCTATCTGCAAAGCAACATTAAACACCTCATATCATAACTGTGTTATAAATATATGCAATTTTTGCTCTGTTCTAGCTAACCTCTTCATTTATAGATGTCACAGAAATAAAGTCTATCTCAGCTCAAATAGACTCAAATTTTATATTAGTAAAATTCTTAGAACTTGTAACTTTATATAATAAAAATTCATATGTATGTTTGTTTTCTTAGGCAGAGGTTCAAAAAATTATTGCAGTTGCCTGGAACATCTTTCAGCCCCTTCTCTTTGGTCTGATTGGAGCAGAGGTATCTGTTTCATCTCTCAGACCAGAAACTGTAGGTAAGAATACTGCTGTTGATAGTATTTTGAATCAATAACTATGAGATTTGATTTCTCCCCCAATATTTTATTATGTCTAAAAATTGAGTATTTCTTACAGGCCTTTGTGTTGCCACCTTGGGCATTGCAGTATTGATACGAATTTTGACTACATTTCTGATGGTGTGTTTTGCTGGTTTTAACATAAAAGAAAAGATATTCATTTCTTTTGCATGGCTTCCGAAGGCCACAGTCCAGGTAATGGTAGCTAAAGAATGGCTTTACAGTTTAACTCCCGTTTCTATTTGATACCTTGAAATTTTGAATAAAAGAGCTTAGTCAAATTTGGTGAAAATAAGTAATTGACGTTTGATTTGTAAAAAGAGTTTTACTCATCTATTCTTTAAAAGTTTTATTTTTGGTATATTGATTCCTTAAATATGACAGCTCATTTAAATTTATTTAGATCAGTGGTTCTCAACCTTGGCTGCACATTAGAATCACCTGGGAATCTTTTTAAAATCCTGATTTCTGGGCCTTATCCTACGGAAATTCTGTTTCTTTGTTATGGGGTGGGGCCACAACATTAGTAACAAAGAAACAGAATTTTAAAAAGATTCCCAGGTGATTCTACTGTACAGCCAATGTTGAGAACCACTGCTTTAGAGTATGATTTGCTGCAAATATAATATATTCCTAATTGTATCACTTTTTTTTATCACTGAGGATATGTTTTTTTGTTTGTTCACTTGTTTTATTTTAGAGAGAAAAAGGAAGGGAGAGAGAGAAACAAACATTATGTGAGAGAGAAACATCGATCAGCTGCCTCCCATACTCAACTCCATCAGGGATCAACCTGCAACCTGGGTATGTGCCCTGACCAGGAATTGAATCCACGACTTTTCAGTGTACAGGTGATGCTCCAACCAGCTAAGCCACACTGGCCACGGCTGCATTGCATATTTTCTAGAGTAATTATAGCAAATGAGATTTAACTGTTCCATCCCTGATTGTTTTTCAATTATTTAAGTATCTATTTCATGAAATGAAAATCAAATGTTCATACTTTAGGAATTTTGGGGGGATGTGTATTCTCTGTAACTACATGCCAGATGTTGTACAGTTGTGGGCTTAAGTATTATTTCAAAAAAGTTTTTTCTTTCCATCAGACTTTCAAAGATGTCTGAGATATAATGGCTAAGAATACTGTGAGGTTAATATAGTGCAATAGATACAATAGTTTCTCCCTCAGAGTCTTCAGCTTCCACACTACTTCTGGTAACTTTAGTAAATAAATATTAAAAGAATCCCTCTAGTAGCTTTGATATGAAATATTTGTTTCTAAACATTAAACTTTAAAAGATGGCACCTTCCTGTTATCAAAGAAAAATTTAAAAAACAAGATATATTATCTAGGAATATAGATAATATTTGTGTTCAAGAATGTATGTTCTGTGAAACAAGTATTGTATAGAATTTTCTTTTTTTCTCCCTTTGCCACAGCACAAGTCTTTTTATACATCTTTTCTGAATTAGTTGTTTTTCAAACTTTTTTGTTCATATGATACTATAAAAATATACTTTAAATCACAATTCAGTATACATATACACTCCCAAAGATATACATACATACACCATACACACACAAAAGAGAACTAAAAGAGAAATATACAGTTGACCCTTGAGCAACACAGGGGTCAGGGGTCAAAAATTTGTGTTTAACTTTTGACTCCCCCAAAATTCAGCTGTCCCTCTGTATCAGTGAGGGATTGATTCCAGGACCCACCTGTGGTTACCAAAATCTGAGGATGCTCAAGTCCCTTATATAAGGTGTGTAGAACAATGCATACACTCAGCCCTCTGCATCTGCAGATTCCCAACTGCAGGTGGAAAATGCTCTTTTTTTTTCCACATGCAAAAGAAGTTGATCCTATTTTTTTAATACCATATATAAAATTAACATAAAACAGATAAGATCTAAACATCAAAGCTAAAACAAGAACACTTTTGGGGAAAAAAAACACAGTGGAAAATCTTCATGACATTGCATTTGGAGATGATTTCTTGAATATGACATCAAAGATATGGATATGACATCAAAAATATGGGAACAAAAGAAAAATAGATAACCAGGACTATGTCAAAATTCAAATCTTCTGCGTATCAAAGGGCACTGTCAAAAGCCAACTTCAGTTCCTGCCCCGGTGGGTCTTTTAGTTTAGCGAGGCAGACCGGCTTCCGACAAGCGTGGCGCATGCTCTGAGAGGGATATTGTAGACCTGAACCACAGAGGGTGTAAAACTGCAAACTCCTCAGGGGAGACCCGCAGAGCAGTGCAGCCATGGGCAAGCTGGACAAGTTTTCTCTCTCAGCTTTGTGTTATAGTCCCTGGGGCCAGGCTTAAGCAATTCGGGAAAAGATGCTTATGCAACTCTTTTGTAGTTGAAGATTCATTTTTCACTTCTCCTTAGAACAGAACACTGCTAGTCGGTCACCTTCTGAGTCCTGCACCATCAAATGTTGGTTTGCTTTCTGTGCCATCCTCTTCGGCTGGATAATTCCAGATCCTTTCACTTTTCTGCTTTAAGACCCTATGGCAGCGGTTCTCAACCTGTGGGTCGAGACCCCTTTGGGGGTCGAACGACCCTTTCACAGGGGTCGCCTATAGTGTAAGCCGATAATGCCTGCCATGTGGGGGTGCTCGGTGTAGGCGATCCTGATTCACTACTAGTGTCATGTGGGGCTTTCGATAAGGATCCAAACCGGGCAGGAGAAATCCTGCCTCCGCGCTCAGGGGAAGTGTCTTGAAGGCCCCCCCTAACGCCCCCCTACCTGCCTCCCACACCACCCTGTCCTCCCTTAAATCTGGGCTTCGGAGAGCCCTGATTTGGTCCACACTCTCAGGCGGACTCTGCGGGCGTGGGTGCCGCCCCCGGAAGCTGTTTTCAATCATGGTTAATTGAATTCACAGCTGCAACACCTAGAGATATGGAGGGCTGACTGTATATTTATTGAAAAAAATTCATGTATAAGTGGACCTGCAGAGTTCAAACCGGTGTTGTTCAAGAGTTGAATATATATCATCATGTGTGCAGTCCTTTCCAAGAATTCATGAAACATTGAGTTAGTTATGGTACCAGGTAACCTGCAATAACAAAGAAGCCTCAATACAGGGACTAAATTAGATAGCTTTTTTCTTTCTCACCAGCAGTCCAGCAAGGGCATCCCAGAACCGGCAGGGTGACCACTGTCCTCAGCATGTGCCTTTCAATGAGTCCAGCTTCCACAATTTCTCACCCAGTGGGAAAGGGGGAAAGAATAAGGTACAAGTGTTTATTTGTTTTCAGGGAACAACCGGAAGTAGCATTTATCACTTCCACTCACTTCTCAGTGGCCTTAGATACAAAGCTTCATCTTGTTGCAATGAAGGCTGAAAAAAAAGTGTCTGTATGGACAGCAATGAGACCAGCTAAAACTCAGGAATTATAATAAGGAAGGAAAAAGGGACATTCAGATATTTGTGGTCAATTAGTAGTCTCTGCCATTGTGTCTCGTGCACACTAATATTTCCTCTTCTGTTTCACTGTCCTAGAGGCTAACGTGTTCAGTGGAATAAGGGGAAAACCAGATAGACCGATATATGATTTTCCCATATGCACTAATACTGTATTTTGCCTCTAAAAGGACAACAAGACGTTTTATAAGATTTTCCAGTAGATAAACTTTAAATGAAACGTTTCACCAATCCTGAGCCAAAGAGTTAACCAAATACCTAGTTTTGAAGGTACTACCACTTTCAAGTTTCATGATGTTTAAAAATTAGTTTTGATTCTAAAACAACACATATTCTTTTTTTTCATTTAAAACTTCATCATCTTCCAGTAAGTATCACTACATATTTTTTTTAATCATGTTCTTTCTTAATTCCAAATTCCTAAAGATGAAAAATTGAGATGCCCAGTAACTTTCCTCTTTAGTCAGAAGAAATTTAGTATAAAGAATCATGTTATAATTAGCTAAATCATGAGTCTGTGTTCACCTTGTGTTTTGAAATATATTTGCCTGATATTTTTTGTAACCTTGCCTTATGCAAAGAGGTACAGATGAATCATCATTCTTTCCCCATGCAAAGGCAGGGGCAGTTTTCAAACAATCAGAACCAACTTCAGTATACTTTGAAAGAAGACTTACTGAACTTTCTTAGTTGAGCAAAAGAATAAGCAATTTTCTGTAGCTGGTTTGGCTCAGTGGATAGAGTGTCAGCCTGTGGCCTGAAGGGTCCTGGGTTCAACTCTGGTCAAGGGCACATCCCGGGTTGTGGGCTCAATCCCCAGTAGGGGGCATGGAAGAGGCAGCCGATCATCATTGATGTTTCTATCTCTCTCTACCTCTCCCTTCCTCTCAGAAATCAATAAAAAATATTTTTTTTAAAAAAGATTCATTATTTTTTTAAAAGAATAAGCAATTTGTTTAAAAATAATTGACCTTCTGTCTATGTGCTTATCTTATTGTGTTTCCAAATTTACCTTTGAACTTTTATAGGCTGCAATAGGATCTGTAGCTTTGGACACAGCAAGATCACATGAAGATAAACAGTCAGAAGAATATGGAATGGATGTGCTGACAGTGGCGTTTTTGGCCATCCTCATCACAGCCCCAATTGGAAGTCTACTGATTGGCTTGCTGGGCCCCAAGCTTCTCCAGAAAGCTGACCATCAAAATAGAGATGAAGAAGTTCAAGGAGAGACTTCTATACACCTTTAGAGGTGAAAGGAAAGAATGCTGAATGTGATGATTAGAAAGCTGCAAACAGAGGCTACTTTTATCAAGATGAATACTGAAATATGTAATGTGTAAGCTTAAAATGAACAGAACCAAAAGTGTGACTATTTCTTTAAACAGCATTTGTAGCCATTACCCTTTCCATGTGGATGGTGATGTTCTGCATCTCCAACCTGATCGCTCTACCTTACTATTTTTTCAAACACCCCTTCATCATATATCTCAATTTGTACAGGGGCATATACACTTGAATGTGCTTCCACAATTTAAAATTCACCTGGGAAAGACCAAGTTCAGAATCCCGTTCTGCCAGCCAACAGCTTTCTCTGACTCACGTTAGTCACAGCTTCATGATGCGTGGTCACCTAGCTTCTCGTGTGTTGAGTTGGCTCCTTTTTTTTTTTTTTTTTTGCTCATCTTTTCTTTTTTGTTTTCTACTCTCTTTCCCTGTTAATCTGCCTCACCTCCACTTCTACCCCTTTTATTAGAACAGATTCGTCCTGCCAAAATATTAAAGTACACAAAGCATCTTCATTGGTTCTTCCTCTTGTGCTTTCTAGACAACAGAAGCCCTTGTCCTGACTCCTAGCTGGCCACACAGAGTCCCCCTTTCAGTGGCGCCTCTGGGTTTGCCTCCCCCTAAAGAGCACCCTGTCCAGCCCTTTCTTATTTGTTTCAGGCTCTTCCTGTTCTCTAGGTGAGAGGTAACTCATTTTCAAATCTATGCCAACCTCATAAGTTGCTATAATGAAGAAACAAACAAACAAAAAAAATACCAAGTAGAAATGTATTTGTGTGTCATGAAACTGACTGGCTGATTGATGCTGACAGGGTTCCTCTGCTCATGAGGTAACTCAGACCCACCCCCTCTGCCTGGAGGCTCTGCTCTGCTCAGGACACAGGTTAAAGATGGGTCTCCTTTCTAGCCCTCAGGACGAAGGGAAAAAGGAAGTCCAAGGCAAGCAATTTGTTTTTAAGGAAGTGGCAGGAGGGTGGACACATGTCTCCCTTACATTCTATTGGTGACAACCACACCAGCTGTGAGGAGGCAGAGCAGCATTCACATTCCTACCAGGAAGGAAAGATCAGATTGGGGAGCCAGAGGTGCCACTGTGCTGGCACAGTGGTTCCCAAACTTATTTGGCCTACCGCCCCCTTTCCAGAAAAAATATTACTCAGCGCCCCCTGGAAATTAATTTTTTTAAAATTTTAATAGCAATTAAATAGAAAGATATATGTATTAATGTTTCTACCTTTTTCGTAAAATATAGTAAAGAAAGGTGTAAATTAGAAACATTGAAGTTTGAAATAATGAAACTATTTATTGAACTCAGAATAGAAAGGTAATACAAAAAAAGTTAAAACAAATGCACCTGTGGCCATCACCGCCCCCCTGGATCGCTGCAGCACCCACCAGGGGGCGGTAGTGCCCACTTTGGGAATCACTGTGCTGGCAGGTACCATCACTTGGTCACATGTTCTTGCATTTTAACAAGGGTTTTCACTCTTTAACTAAAAGAGTGATTTCTGTGGCTGGAATTTCAGACATTGTGACACGCCAGCAGAGAGGATAGTAGAGGAAAAATTCATCTGCATGGGTCACACTGGATCCTACTTACTCAACTCTCTCTGCTTTTGTGTGTCACCCATAAGTGCCTTTATTACTGTTGGCCAACTCCTAGTTGCTAGGATAATCATGCTAAAATACTGTTGGCAACTTTTGTCATGTTGTTTGTTACGTAAATAATTTATTACTTCTTGTCATATCCCATCCAAACCATTTAACCTAGAATTCAAAATTCTATCTAATCTTGAATTATATAATATGTACTAAATGAGTGGATTATGAATATTCTGATTCCACCAAAGTGACCCGTGTACAGCCTCTCCATGCCCCTTCTCCCGTGATGTTCACCTCCATTCAAAACTAGCTTAATTTGCATTCAGCTAACATACTATAAAGTCATAACAGGCTTCATTTTTATGTCAACCTGACTCTGATTACTCTGTGACTTTGGTTACTGTATTCCCTGACTGTGTAGGTTTTCAATTTGGACTGAATTTATACCAAAGTTCAGATGGATCTTTCAAATTGAACTTCATTGGTTAGGTGCATCTTGGTGATAACACCAGATACTAAATGCTCTTGTGTTTCTTCTTACAAGGGTACTAATTTCATCATCAGGGCCCTATCCTGAGGTCCTCATCTAAACCTAATTATTCCCCCATAGGCCCCAACTCTAAATACCATCAAAATATGAATTAGCAGGGAGATGTGGAGGACACAGTTCAGTTCAGAGCAGGGGTGTCATACTTCCAAGGATGGCGCTAAACAAACATTGAAAATTCTTGTTCTTCAGTGCCCTTTCTATTCCTATAGTCAGTGTCATTCATATCACCTCTGAAAAGTATTTTTTTAGATAGAATTATTAGGTTTCAGACTTTTATTCTGTTTTCACATTTCAATGTTTTTCTCTTTGGCATTAACGTTAAATAACCTTGATTGAACTTGGGTGTGCTCAAAATTTCCTGAGCCATACATTTGCAAACAATCTCATCCATTACATTCTTTAAAAATAATATTTGATTATTTTTTCTGATTATAAAATAACATTTCAATTACAGAAAATTTAGAACACAGGAAAGTACAAGAAAGAAAACTGAGACTACTCTTAGTGTAAATACCCATTTTATTCAGGTTCTTTTAAATTTTACCCTTGCAGTTCTGAAGAATGTGTTATTTTCATAAAGATATATTCTCCATTGAATTAGTTGGGCCAACGTTAACATAAATGCATACATTTGAGTTTTGTGAAGATATATATATTGATGAATTTTTATTGTATATAATGAATGTTAAGCCTTCCAAAAATTTTTATTCACCTGTTCTAATATTCATTTTGCAATAAATAAAATAAAAATCCTTGCCGTTGTGGAGCTTATGTTTTAAAATTCATTCATTCACTCAAATACACCTAAAAACATGTTTGCTATATGCTAGGCTTTATGCTAGCTACTGGGGAATACCGTGATGAACAAGGGCTCTGTTTTTAATGGAACTTGAATTCTAGTGGGTGGTTGAAACTTGGGAATACAGATGTGAATAAGACATTCTTGTTTTCAAGAATGTTACAAGGAAGTAGGATATGTTCAAATAGCTGTAATCCAAGTCAATGATTCAAACATGTTCTCAAAGATCAAAGATGGTGGTAGAATAGGTGAATGTTACACTTACCTCCTCCCAGGACCAAACTGGAATTATAACTAAAATATAGAGCAATCAACCTGAATAACCAACTAAAGACTAGCTGAAGAGGAGTCTTAAAACCAAGGATCTAGAAAAGAAACCACATCAAGACTGGTAGGAAGGTCAGAGGTGCAAAAAGGGCTGGCCCTGCTCCCATAGGTGGCAGCTGAGCTTCTGGAGGAATATCTCAGCTATAGGGGTTCCCGGTAGAGGCCTCCAAGCCAGACTCCCCAGCCCAGAGCACTAGAGCCAGAAAGAGGCGCCCATATAACATCTGGCTGTGGAAATCAACAGGAAGGCGGACCAGCATGGCTCAGCAGGTGAGCATGGACCCATGAACCAGGAGGTCACTGTTCCATTCCTGGTCAGGGCACATGCCCAGGTTGCAGGCTCTATCCTGGGTGTGGGACATGCAGGAAGCATTCTATCAATTATTCTCCCTCAGCATTGGTATTTCTATCTCTCTCTCCCTCTCCCTCTTCTCTGAAATCAATAAAAATATATTTTTCAAAACTAAACTATCAGTGCTGAACTTTCGGCCCAGACAGGATTGACCCCAGAGACTGCTATTTTATGGTATTTAAGCTGACTTAAGGGAAAACAAGATCTGACTTGTGACAAGTGACTCCTGGTACATGCAGCGGAGGGGGGTGGGGGGCGCTACGATTTGGCCAAAGGGTTCTGTAATGTCAACTATGTGCCTGGATTTTTACAAACCAATAGGTTAAGATTCAGAAGAGACGTCGAGATTTGAAAAGAGGTTGAATAGACCGAAATAACACCTCGGCGGTCCGGGTGAATAC